TGAGTAAGTGGTACGAGCACACACTCATTTACGTGTATGCGCTGCAGCGCGTTGGTCGCATCGGATCAACAACTGCACTACCCGCAACGTTCTGTATGCGCTGAGTGAGGGTGTCTTTGGACTGGATTTCCATGTCCATGACACAGTGTTGTAGCTACATGATGGTCATGTACATGTAGATCGTACCAACCAAACACACCCTGGCCTAGGCGCCTAGGCCTAGCCTACAACGTGTAGCCTACAACGTGTAGCCTACATCGTGTAGCCACCAACGTGTAGCCTACAGCGTGTAGCCTACATGTAGGCAAGGGTAAAGTCACGTGTGGAGTAGCAACAAAAAAGTAGAGAAGTAGCGTTAGTTAGGCGGTGTTTACATGAGGCGTTTCAACCCGGGTTGAGTTCGACCCGGGTCACATTTCAACCCGCCATGCACACAAAATGAATGGCGCGTTTACATGACGCATTGCGCTTGACCCGGGTTGAAATTTCGCCCCGGGTTGATTTCAACCCTCCCCCAAGGCCAAGGGGGAGGGTTGAAACCAACCCGGGTCAAGAAAATCGTACAAACGTACTTCTGTGCGTATCTCGCGCCAGGTTTGAACAGCACTGCACATGCAAATTTCGCGCGAACGGATTCACGTGACCATACAGGACTCTAGAAGTGGACTTTTGGCGGCATATCAGTATTTGACCCTGGTCAACTGTCTTTATGTAAACGCTCACCTATTTTGTCTATCGTACAGACTTTCAACCTGAACTCGACCCAGGTTGAAATTTCTCATGTAAACACAGCCTTACTTTACTACAGTACTCCCTGCTAGCTACCAATGAACCATAGTTAATTTAGTCATACATGCACGTCCACCAATCACCATGCATAGACCACTGTAGACAGTCTACGCCATGACCGCGTACCGGTCCAGACCTAGTACCTGATGTCTAGTGATGACCGTGCATGCGTACATGGTCATGCCTCATGGGGCCATTACATAGTCAACCTGAAGTGCCTTCGCGGCTTCGGGGCGGTGGATCAGAGTGACCTGCAACAGAAATGGAGTTGTACTTTTACTACTCAATTCCCGTAATTACTTCCCCGTTTTGACTTTTTAGTTTTTGTTTTGTGGACTTTGCAAGAGGTCAAGAAACAAACATTGACTTACGTGTCTTGCTTCAAAGTCTGCTTGCAAGAGTCTGTCCTTCGTCCATAGGTTGCTTGGCGAGCGGGAAGTAGTTACTCCATGCCTGCCACCAATGTGGACGGGCAGGCAGCCGGGGGGCTGCCTCCCTCGGTGTTTGATCTGCCTCGCGAGCTGACCGTTCGTCCTCAGATGCTGATAACACTGGCTGGGCTGGATGCGAAGCGCAATGCCGACCACCGCATCATTGCCGACGCCTTCACGGCCAACAGGCGCTCTGACAGGCTGCCAATAAACTTCCAGCTGCGTTCCACGGACCACGACTACCCAACTGCTTCACCCCCGGTAAGAAATTCCGCAATGAACATTTCGAATCGTCAATGTCAAACTTTTTGTTAGAACACACCTACACCATGCACACAGCATCAGTGGCTCATGCATAATATTCCGAAATGCTCTGCGACTGGCCAGGAAATTGACGAGATAAGAAACTCATCAGGTCGTTTATATCAGGGGAACCACCCGCTGTGCATCTATGTGCTTTGGATGTTTTGCTGTGGGCCAAAATTTGAATTTTGTTGAAAGTATATCGATTGAACATATTTTCTGGCAAATAGGTGTCTTCTATGTTGTAGGAGTACATATACAACCCTGGAGTCACGGAAAAATAGCTACTCGCACGGTATTTTCTCACTGACTCCTTGTGAAGTGTGTGAAGCTTGCGGCGTTTTGCTGTGGTGCAATGTGCTATTGTGCTGTGCCGGGACCACCCATCCTTATACAGTGATGTGTTTGTGTATGCACATGTGTGTGTGTGTGTGTGTGTGTGTGTGTGTGTGTGTGTGTGTGCGCGCGTGCGTGCGTGCATGCGCACACAGCGCTAGCTGACTTTGCATGAAAACCATTTCCGTCAAATACACGCAATTCACGCCGTTACACCGTGACAGCGATAAAACCAAGCGGCGCTGTTGTAATATTTTAGTTAGTTTGTGAGGATGTAAGAAGTTGAACAAATAGCTGGCATTGCACCATTGAGCAAGAACATATAAGAGGGTGTCGTATGTTTGGTGGCATGCACTGGAAAGGGATCGGCGCTTAAGAGAATTTTAATAGGCGCAGTGTTAAAGAGTTTGAATTGAGGCTACGTGAATTATATCTTGTTGATAAATCATCTGCTTATGGCCCAATATGGGCGCTATGTACACAGCGCGAGTCAGTGGGACCGCTTATGGGTGCTATGCATGCAGCGTGAGTCAGCAAAACCGCTTATGGGTGCAATGTACATAGCTTGAGTCGTTAGTGCATCGCTGCGCCGCGATTTTGCCAAAGCATCTCAACTGATCGTGTAATCGCACAACCTCTATTGAAAGGAACTGCATTTCCCCGGCTCTTGGGAGAACAAGGTGCAAGTGCAGCTCCTGGTCGTACGTGAAGTACAACTGGTGGGTGTGAGAGTTGATCAAACTCCCTCTTATTGCGTGAGGTCCTGCACCGAGTGCTACATTCTACCCAATCAGCAGACTGCCAGCGCTGTGAAGGAGTACCAGGTTACACCTTTCGGCTGAATCTTGCCTTAAGTATATGTATCAGCCAGAGGTTTGCAGATCCCACTACAGTATCCCCCAGAACTGAACAAAGACAGTGCTGCAGCATGTTAGACTATCGTCCGTGCCAGAGATGTTTGTGCAGTGATAAAATTTAGTACCAACTGTGCTTTTATTTGATGAAGGTGCATCGAAAAGAATTTTGTTTAGTGTGGTGGTTCACTGGTTTGGACGTGTTCCTGTTTTTTTCCCACATTTTTTTATTTGGGTGCTTGTGTGTGTGTGTGTGTGTGTGTGTGTTTGTGTGTGTGCGCGTGTGTTAGTGTGCACGCGCACTACCTCTTACTGAGTACTGTAAAGCGACAAACTTTCGCGGCGCGCAAATTTAGCGTTTTCATAAATTGGGCTGGTTCACGATGAGAAACTTTTGCGATTTCTCTCTTCAGTCGGATCTTGTACTGTCTACAATCAATGTACGGAGAGGTTTGCGGCGATTTATATTTGCGAATGTGCGATGGTCGCGAAAATAGCGAAATTTAATCTCTAGCGAAAGTGTCTCACTTTACAGTACATATTCATTTTTTCACTGGGTCTGTGTGTGTTTCTTTTGCAGCGTACGTCGTACGAGTTCTTTCATCCGCGCGGTATCCTGAAGACCCACTGGATGCACAAACACATGAACCTGGTGCCCAGTGTGTGCGTCCTGTTCTTCAACTTGGACTGGGATACGGAGACATGGAACGAGCGTGTGCAAGAATGTCTGTCGAAGATTCAGTGCATCAGGTACAGTCCTCATGGTGGTCTGCCATCCTCTCTCTCTCTCTCTCTCTCTCTCTCTCTCTCTCTCTCTCTCTCTCTCTCTCTCTCTCTCTCTCTCTCTCTCTCTCTCTCTCTCTCTCTCTCTCTCTCTCTCTCTCTCTCTCTCTCTCTCTCTCTCTCTCTCTCTCTCTCTCCCTCCCTCCCTCCCTCCCTCCCTCCCTCCCTTCCCTCCCTCCCTCCCTCCCTCCCTCCCTCCCTCCCTCCTCTCCCTCCCTCTCCTCTCTCTCTCTCTCTCTCTCTCTCTCTCTCTCTCTCTCTCTCTCTCTCTCTCTCACTCTCACTCTCACTCTCACTCTCTCTCTCTCACTCTCACTCTCACTCTCACTCTCTCTCACTCTCTCTCTCTCTCTCGTTGTGTGTGTGTGTGTATGTGTACGCGCGCGCGCGCGCGCGTGTGTGTGTGTGTGCGAGCGCTGTGTGCGAGCGGCGTGCACCTCTTTGTGGTTTAAGAGCTTGAAATTTGTGTTGTATTGACGGTATTGTTTTTTTTCATTTGTTCTCCGCCTGCAGAACATCATTGACCGGTCGCAACACTCGCGTAGCCCTCGTGCTGCTACAGTCGAAGAAACGATCGCCTCTGGGTAAGTCCTCGGGAGGTGTGTTGCTCACTGAGTGAGAGAGTTCGATTCTGTTCACGAATTGATGTTGAATCCAGTCATGAATCGCCCCTGGCTATTCACATCACCCCATCTGAATAGGGTGAATGGATTCCGAACCAATTCTAGGGCACGTGGCATGGAAATCAAACGACTGGAATGCACCAGATTCCATTCATGAATCGATTCATGTGCGTAATCGAACGCACTCACTGTCATGCTGGTCACACATGTGCCATGTGAAGTTCCGCGAGAGCGTCACCCAACCTGGACCCCGGTTTTGGATGCTTGTCACACGAGCGTGTCTCGGTAGTACTGTAATTAAACAAAATTTCGATGGCTTTTTAATTTTGTCTTGTTCTTTTTAATTTTGTCTTGTTCGCGGTGCATAACGCCTAAATTTGAATCGTGGATGCATATTTTCCCATCTGCTTTAGTGATGTTAGTAGGCATAGTGAGATGCTCTAAGACCATGATTGAGAAACAGAGGGTACCCTGGAAACTCGTGACCTGGCACGAGGGAAGCATGGATGCAGCGAATGCGGGGATTTTCGGTCTTTGACCACTTTGTGGTGGGTCTGATCTCACCTCCCGCCGCTTTTGGAGCTGCATCTGCACCTTGATCCGTAGGGGGTGGTGGCGTTCCTACGGATGCGGAATACTTGGCCTCTAGCCGAGTCTCACACGAACCATGCTTTATTTTTATTTTTTTTATTTTTTTAGTGGCGTTCCAGTTTGGTGATGTGCCGAAACTAACTCGCTCCCGTAATGTCAAATGTGTGGTTGCGTGTATGCGATGTGTATAACTGGATGTTGATGTATGAAGTCTGAAGAAAATGTTGAACAGTCTCTGCTGGGATGACAGCTACACCATAGCTCAGTGGTTAGATCATCGCTGGCCTTGAGCGAAGGTCCCTTATTCGAGTCCTGGCGGTGCCAGTCGATTTTTTCTTTAGACTTTCCCCTTTTCCATCCCCTCAACTAGTGAATGGTTAATGTATGTGTGGGCGTATATGCATTCTGCTGCGCGTAGGTGAAGATTTGCTGGCATCGGAACGCGCCGCACTCCTGTGCAGTGCCTGCGAGCTTTCCTCTAAACATCTCTTCATTTTGCCATACGACGACCAGCAGATGATCATGGCCTATGTTCAAAGGTAGGTGAATATTGGGCGAGATTCAACCGAGAGGTGTTCAAACTTCTTTCTGTGCTCCTCTGTTTTAATATACGGTTATGAGCATGCGTTTGCAAGTGTGACCAACTTCTTGCCTTTGCTGTGGTGCTAGTGCTGGTGGTGGTGGGGGTTTCACACTGCCACCGATGTGAGAGCTACTGGCTTGCTGTTGTTTCCCACCTCGCCGGAGTGTGCTCGTTATCGAGACTGAACGGATACGTTCCCACTTTAGAGTGGAAAGCGCCGATGTGTGTGTGTGTGTGTGTGTGTGTGTGTGTGTGTGTGTGTGCATGTGTGTGTATGTGTGTGTATGTGTTTGTGGTGTGTGCGTGCGTGTGTGCACGTGTGTGTGTGTTTCTGTGTGCGTGCCCACACTCACGTGCGGGGTGTGCGTGTGTGCGCGCACGCGTGTGTGGGTGTGGGTGTGTGCTTGCGGGGTGTGCGTGGGTGCGTGTGCGCACACACGAGTGCTCGGCTATTGCTTACGCATGCCTACTTGTATTGTACTTATCTATGTGTGTCTGTTTACTTGTTTGTGTTCAGACTGGAGACTGCCTTCTTCGAGCTCTCACAGCAATACTACCAGGGAGAAACTAAGCGTGTCAAGAGCAGGAAGGTATTCATTTTGCAACTGATGCACGAACAGCTCTTGCCGTACCAAGACTGCATAAAACCAAGTGTGTTCAGTTTGTGACTATTCTGCATGGGTGTCTGCGACGGTGAAGTTCCTGCATTACATCATATTCGGTGCAGATTTGCGACGGGAAATGGCATTGTGCGTACTACTGAGCTGCAGTTGTGTAGCAGGAGACTAGTTTGAATCCTGCTTATACTGAAATGAAGTAATCCTGAAATGTCGCCGTGACAGCAACCCACTCGAGCTACACACTCCTGGCATTGGCAAAGAAAGGGGTTGAACATTGCATTCTGTTACCGGTTGATGATCGATTGGGGAATAATCCTGGTTATCCCCCTTGCTAATCCTATGTTTGCTGTGTTTTGTTTGTTGTACTACCATGCAGGAGTTCTTGAACAAGGGCACTCATTTAGTAAGTTTTATAGTCTCCATATTTGGCCTCATTTCCAGTTTCTATGATGATCAATCCGTTTGTTCACTAGTTGGTGAAACTGGATAATCCTGACTGCTTCCCAGAGCTGTCACATAACACTTGCCATGATGCAGCACTCATCTAAGGAGCGTGTGTTCATCCTTGTCAGCGTTGTCATGGTCATTGTCGGCAGCGGTGACGTTTGAAAAATAATCACAGCTCGAATCGAGGATCGGCCTCTAAGTGTGTATTGTTGTTGTTGCTGATGCTGCTGCTTGTTGTTCTGCTGTTGCTGTTGCTGCTGCTGCTGCTGCTGCTGCTGCTGCTGCTGCTGTTGCTGCTGCTACTGCTGCTGCTGCTGCTGCTGTTGCTGCTGCTACTGCTGCGGTTGTGTGCTGTCATATTGGTGGATGCGTAGGTGCTATTTGTGCGCCACCAGTTCAAGTGTGCCTTCTACTGTGATATGCGGCAAGACTTGACCCTAGCTCTGCAGTAAGTGCCACTGCTTGGCGTTCATCATTGCTCAGTCTACAGTACTGTTGGGTGCCGCAGAACTGGGCTGTTAGACTCGTAGCCTACGCCGTGCTGATGTTCATGTACAGGACTGCTCAATGAAATCGCAGTCGCGTCACTCAAGTACACGCCGGGTGTTGTGCTCACTCAAGTACACGCCGGGTGTTGTGCAGCCCTAGACCTGCGAACACTGGGCTGCGAAATGATGCCAAGGCGCAAACTCGAGTGATGCGACTGGATTTCATTGATCAGCATTGTACTATGGTCTATGCACAGTTGAGTTACTGTGTATACATTGGTATGCTGTGCTTGGTGAAATCCTAGCCTGTCTGTTCTTCGGTGCTGGGGGGGGGGATAGCCTCTTAGCCTAGACCATTCTTATTTTCATGTACCAGAGTCTATGCACAGTTGAGTCACCGTGTATACAGTAGATATTGGGTATAACGTGCCCTTCTGATTTTTCACATTTTATCACTATAACCGGTATATCACTACAGGCGATTTTCAACTGCCCGTGTCATACATACACATTATACACGTGTGGGTACTCGATCGCGCTAATGTAGTGTACTGATACGTGATGGATCCTACTGCACCTTCTCCAGTCTAGAGTGAAGAACTTCTTGGCCCAAAGGCATCATCCAGGAAGCACCAGACCAGAATACCCTATGACAACATACATGTGGCTCCAAGTCGAGACATCAATGCCTCACACTCGTGTGTTGCTATCACTATAGACGATAATTTTTCTGCACAAAGAGGTGTTTTGAATGGTGATTCTGTATCCTTATAGCCGATTTATCGCTATATACGATATATTGGTTATAATGATAATTTGACTGGCTTTTTCTGGTTTTGCTTTTGATATTTTCATTTTGTATCAATATAGCCGGTTTATCACTATGTCCGATGACTTTATAACCGATATCCACTGTACATGGATATGCTATGCTTGGTGAAATCCTAGCCTGTTCATTCTTCAGCACCCGGCAGTACTGTACAGCGAGACAACTGCGGTCTGATGAACCATGAGAATCTGAATTACAACGAATAAGCCCTTACAGCCCCCTTGTGTACCTCTTCAAGGCTCTTGTGTACCTGTTATGCACTGCGTTCTGCCCATCATATGCATTGAGCATTGTAACTTAGCAGATAACGACGCACTGACTCTGTACTGTGGGCTATAAAAAATTTTTTTTTGTAGACCCTGCATTACTGTAATCTAGTCAGTTGACGTAATACCTGTACACTACACCTCTGCTGTATTACCGTAAAATACCATTGATCCTCCCCCCCCCCCCCCCCACGCCGTGTCGCTTCCCAGCTGGTTTTTCGGCAGGGGCCGGGAATTAGATGAAGTCGTTCAAGTGCAGTGCGATGTACCGCAAAGCAGAAGATCAGACCTGGAATGCTAGATTGTGCACATTTTCATCCTGCACTAGCACGTATTGTGTACAGCAGTACATGCGTCGGTTCAACATCGTATTTCGTTGTATACGCCAACGTCGCTTCACAGGCAGAAAATCGACAGGGGGCGGGAACTAGAGAGGGGGTGGATCAACGGTACTTTCCGGTATGGATTTTACTGCCCCTGGATGAATGTTTTGCTGAAGTTTCGCTGGATGTTGCAATGAATTGTTTTGTGTAATTTTCTTTTCTTTTCTCCCCTAGGCACTATATTATGGCATACAGCTACCTGACGGAGATAACACCAAGCTTGTCCAACTCTCTGGAGCTGCGGATGGTTGCTGGCTATCTCAATTACAAGGTTGGCAGGGCTGGTTTGTGTGTGTGTGTGTGTGGGGGGGGGGGGGGGGGGGAGGGGGTGTGGGGGGGGGGGGGGGGGTACGCGCGCGTGTGTGTGTGTGTGTGCCTGTGGGTGGGTGTATGTGTGGGTATGTGTTTGTGTGCGTGCACGTGTGTGTGTGTGCTCGCGCGTGCACTCGTACTAGGCGCTGCCCTGCTCTGATATTGGAGCACTTTCAGAACATCGGGTGCAGCCTTTGTAATACCTTCGCCGCCTGTATGCAGTGGTGTTCACATCAGTTTGTCATGTGACTAACTTTGTGCAGAAAGTGATCATGTCATGTGACTAACTTTGTGCAGAAAGTGATCATGTCATGTGACTAACTTTGTGCAGAAAATGATCATGTCATGTGACTAACTTTGTGCAGAAAGTGATCATGTCATGTGACTAACTTTGTGCAGAAAGTGATCATGTCATGTGGACAGTGTAACCAACATGGCTATCGCGTATGGTCATGTGATAACTGCAGTATTATTCTCAATACAGTTTGGACAATGAGACATAGAAGGGTACACTAATGAGGAGCAAGAAATGCACAACCAGTAGGCGAGTCTAACACAAGAGAAGTCCCGAGCCAGTGAGAGACGCACATCAAAGTTCTGGCCTACGGGAAACGGCCTGCGTGACGTACATACAGCATGCAGCGCATACAGTCATAAGTGTACAGTAGTGTACGCATAACAGAGTCCAGATATTGCGACACTAACTACTGTTGCGGTCGGTGAAATCCGACCCGGAGTGCGTATTTGGCACCCTCAACTTGCACGGCCCTTGACGCCCTGGAAGTGGCACGAATGCGGCTGGACGTACACATGTACAAATACAGTGCTGCTCAGTGAAATCCAGTTGTGTCACTCAAGTACGCGCTGGGCGTGTGCGCATCCCTAGACCTGCGAGCTCTAGGCTGCGGAATGGAGCAAGGCGCAAACTTGAGTGACACGACTGGATTTCACTGAGCAGGACAGTACAATGATGTAATCGGCACTGGTCCAGGGGCCAGGGCGCCAGCTTTGCACTTGCGGTCAGATTTCACCCAGCAACTGTTGTTAGGTGTGCAGCCACTCTATGGGGAGCCATTCAGTTCGAGTCATGTTTGATGTGAGTCATGTGACTTGGCCATGCACTGTCTCACTGTGTTCATTTGATGTGAGTCATGTGACTTGGCCATGCACTGTCTCACTGTGTTCATTTGATGTGAGTCATGTGACTTGGCCATGCACTGTCTCACTGTGTTCTGTGCCAATGTGTTCAGATCTGTCGCCTGTGCTTTCGCGGTGGAGCTCCGCGAGATGCGCTGACGCAGTTCCGCAAGCACATCGACCAGTACAAGACGTTCGTCCACTATGAGGAGCTGCAGTTTGAGCATTACGCCTGGCTGTCGAAGCAGTGAGTTGCCCGTCTGGCTGTCTTTCTGCATGTCTGTATATGCGTTGGTAGTTCTGTCTACATATCTGTCTATAAATAGGTGAGCAGTTGCTTTCGGCCTTGTCAATAAAGAGCAATTCAACCTCCACCACCACATTCGCTCTCGGGCCGACCACGTCTACTACCTCTATGCGCGGTCTCTCTCTCTCTCTGTCTGGCAGTCTGTCTGTCTGTCTGTCTGTCTGCGGTCTGTCCGTCTCTCCCTCTCACTCACTCACTCACTCACTCGTACACTCACTCGTACACTCACTCAATATGCTTTGGTGGAGCTTTCGCAAGAAGATATCTTACCGATGTGTAGTACTGGTGAGGGCTGGGTGTGGCGTGGCATATTGGGAGACAACACACAGCCATAGTACCCAAGGCGATGTGTGTTCCGACCCCGGATTTGGAAGTTGCATGTGATCCGTGACCTATACAACTCGCGATTGTGCGGTCCCGGCTGTTAGTCGCTGACTCCACATGTGGTTCAGATCAGCTGTGCCAGATGTATTAAAGCGTACGCAAATCAACCACCTTGCCCCAAGTGAGACGACAGCAAAGCCACATCACCCATGTCCTAGATGCTGTGGTTCCCCCAGATAGCGCAACTTGGTTGACATATTTATATTGCGCAATTGACCACTGTGTCAGGTCGTCGTAGAATATCTCAGTATCCCTGTCAGTTTTGTGCCTCGTTGTTGCACTATCTAGTGAAGTATAATTATTATGTCGTTACCTTGGTGGACTGGTGCTCATAACTCGTGACATTTTGGTCCTTTCTCTACTTTAAGACTACTGCCTTCTGTAAATACATGTAGAATTACAAGCGACGACTACATGATAGCAGGACTTGATCCTTTGTGTGAACTGCCATACTCAATTTTCTGTTAATAGCGCGACAGATCTTCCGGTCATACTCCAATTGCTCCATTCTCCGTTGTTCTTTGCACCGAGATGCTCAAGTTCCCCTTGTTCGTTGCACCGAGATGCTCAATTTCCCCTTGTTCTTTGCGCGAAGACTTTTGATTTCCAGTTCTTCTGTGTACTGAGATATTCAAGCAATTCCCATTGTCTGTGTGTGTGTATCGCTGGCCTCAAGCCAAGGTCCCTGGTTCAAGTCCTGGTGGTGACAGTCAGTTTTTTCCTCACTTTCCTTTTTCAACTCCTTCAACTGATGAATGTCTGTGTGTGTTTTTGTGCGTTGTTGTTGACAGGTTCAGTATATTTGGTGACTTGTTTGACGAGGCAGTGCGCAATTACAATCTCGCCCCTGTAATGGTAAGAAGGATAAGATCTCACGGAATTCAGTGTGCTGGTATGGTGAGACATCAGTATGTAAAGAGTTGGATCTCTAATGGGGGCACAATGTAAAACGATTAGCATTGGTCCAAGTTGGAAACTAGCCCTCTTGTGTGTGTGCACGTGTGTGTGTGCGTGTGTGTGTGTGTGTGTGTGTGCGTGCGTGCGTGCATGCATGCATGCATGCGTGATTGTCTGCGCGTGCATGTGTGTTTATGCGCGTGTGCATGTGTACGTGTGTGCACGCATGTGTGCACGTGCTTACGTGTACTCTGCAGGCTCAGCATCCTGGCTTCTACTTCAAACAGGCTTCCGATTACACCATGGATCGTCGGCGTGTTTCTGGCAAGGAGTGCAAGGTATGTTCCCGTATGTTCCCCGCACCTGTCTGCCTGCATGTGTATCAGGTAGCCGTAACGTATCGGAAGACGACAAGATATCCATATCATAGTGCCTGAAATGGTGTGCGTTTTGACTCCGGGTTTGGCTACATGGTTGTGGTCTACAGAGTAGTTCAAGGCCTCCCCGTTTCAAAGAGCTCAATGCCCAGAAGGGCAGAGCCTCCTTACAAGTAAGGACGCTGCTGAGATTTGTGTTTGTATATCGTTGTTTTTGTTGTCAACGGCTTTTGTCAACGGCTTTTCTGTCATTTCATTGTATCGTATTGCTCTTCAGACATCAATCCTGAATGGCATAAGCGAAAGTGGCACCCCCGCCACCTACGTGTACATGCTTTTAATAATATCGTTGTTGTTGTTGTTTGAAATCTGTTATTCTCACGACGGCCTGTTGCCAATAAGAGAAAGTTGTTGTTGTTGTTGTTTGTACCAGGATGCTGCTGGAATCTACTCCGGTGATATTGACTACACCAAGATTGTCTACGTTGGTCAGCGTCCATGGCGTGTTGGATACAGAGGTCAGTTCTGACACTACTCTCTGCCCCTACTCTCTACCCCTACTCTCTGCCCCTACTCTCTGGCTGTACTGTCTGCCCCTACTCTCTCTACCTCCCCTGTCTTCCCCTACTCGCTACCCTCAGTCTCTAACCCTAGTCTTTGCCCTGACTCTGCCCTATACTCTCTGCCTGTACTGTCTACCCCCACTCTCTACCCCACTCTCTACCCCCACTCTCTATCCCTGCTCTCTGCCCCCATCTATGCTTGTACTGTCTGCCCCCACTCTCTACCCTTTATGCTCTACCCCTTACTCTCTACCCCCACTCTCTACCCTTTATGCTCTACCCCTTACTCTCTACCCCCACTCTCTACCCCCACTCTCTACCCCCACTCTCTACCCCCACTTTCTATCCCTGCTCTCTGCCCCCATCTATGCTTGTACTCTCTACCCCCACTCTCTACCCCTTACTCTCCATCCCTACTCTCTACCCCCACTCTCTACCCCCACTCTCTTCCCCTACTCCCCTGCCCCTACTCTCTGCCTGTACTGTCTGCCCCTACTCCCCCTGCCCCCATTCTCTGCCCTCACTCTCTACCCCTACTCTCTGCCTGTACTCTCTACCCCCTACTCCCTGCCACGCAACCATGTGTGAGATAATTTACGCCAATCAGAAGTATTCACCAGAAATGGCCACAACCTTTTTTGCGGGACAAGTTCTCCTGTATGTAGCAGATATAACCGGCCCTAGTACAATTACATGCATGGGATGAACCTTACAAAATTCATGGCCTTTTCTGCAGTGCTTTGAGTGTGGATCTATTGTTTGCACTCACAAGGTGCAGTAGTGCGTGCCACAACTGGAGTTGAACGGTGAAGGTTGTAGGTTGGACGTGAAGGGTCTTCTTCTTCTTCTTCTTCTTCTTCTTCTTCTTCTTCTTCTTCTTCTTCTTCTTCTTCTTCTTCTTCTTCTTCCACATCGTCGTTTCTTGAGCAAGGCGTGTGTGTGTGTGTTTGTTTGTGGACGTGTGTGTGCATGTGTGCGCGCGTGTGTGTGTGTATGTAGAGGGTCAGTCGTGCAGCCCAGAGGATCAGCAAGAAGGTATATTCCAGCTGCAGGCATGTGAAGGGCATACCCGATACTCGGTGAGAATGCCGTGTGAAACCTTCCCCTGCTCTCATGGCTATCTCTTTCTCTTCCTTTTCTATTTTCACTCGCTCACTCAATCAATCACTCACTCAATCAATCACTCACTCATTCACTCACTCACTCATTCACTCACTCTCTCACTCTCTCAATCAATCACTCACTCACACACTCACTCTCTCTCACTCAATCACTCACTCACTCTCTCACTCAATCACTTATTCACTCAATCACTCTCTCACCCATTCACTCACTCTCTCAATCGATCGCTCACTCACTCACTCTCTCACTCAATCGATCACCGACTCATTCACTCTCACACACTCACTCTCAATCAATCACCGACTCATTCACTCTCACACACTCACTCAATCACTCTCTCTCACTCTCTCACTCACTCTCTCACACACTCACTCTCTCTCACTCAATCAATCACTCACTCACTCACACAATATGCTTTTGTGGAGCTTTCGTATAACAAGATCGTTGTACCTCTACTTAGTTGTTTTTCTTTCTTCTCTTTCTCACCAGTGGATAATCGTGCAAGCCCTGACCTCTGCTATCACTCACTTCAATAAGCATCGCTCACCACGTATGCGCGAAACACTCCGTAAGTCAACATGTTTGCACGGCCCATGCCGATATGATACAGCCGTGTTTTGCTGATACGAATTCCGCCCTTTTTTTTCTACGGCAATGTGTGTGCGTGCGGGCGGGCGGGTTGTGGCGGTGGTGGTGGTGTGCGTGTGTTTGTGTGCATTATGGGTGTTTGTGTATGCGTGCGTGTGTGCATGCATGCACACACGCATGCACACATACATGTGTGTATGCATGTGTGCATGTGTGTGTGTGTGCATGCTTGTGTTCGTCTCTGTGTATGCATGTGTATGTGCATGCTCATCAACTGTTCACATACTGTGTGGTATCGCTCTCTGCAGGCCTGCAACTAGGCAATGAGTACGTCATGTCTGGGGACTATGCAAAGGCGCTTTCGTAAGTTGCACCCAGGCACTGACAGAATCCTCCGATACCCCTGAGAGTCTGAGACCAGCACCGCATCAGTGACATACACTTCACTGTTTTGGAGTCCATCAATGATCCTGGTGGTTGTATGTGACTCACTCAACACTGACATAAGCACTGTGGGGTTTCTGAAGTGATGTACAAAGGCTCTCATATGAAAAGAGTTTGTGCGCGCATTTCAGCAAGCAAACAAAGCAACGTATTCAATTTCGAGTCCTGAACATTGTCAATTAGTGACCGTTCTCTTTTTTCTCGTTGGTTGACTTGGTTGTCGTCGTCGTTGTTGATGTGTTTCAGAGTTCTTGGTCACTCCATGGAAGAGTTTCGTCTGGCCCAGTGGTGGTCATTCCTTGTTACCAGTCTCAAGTTTGCGCTCAGGTGAGTTCTGAACAACACCTCTGTGTTGTCTTCATGTGTTGCTCACTGCTCACTCCTCACTACGCCAGCACCCCCACCCCCAACACCCACACACACACATACCTTGCGTATTGTATTTGCACTCGGGTGAGTTCTGAACAACACCTCTGTGTCGTCTTCTTGTCTTGCTCACTGCTCACTCCTCACTACACCAGCACCCCCACCCCCAACACCCACACACACATACCTTGTGTATTGTGTTTGCACTCGGGTGAGTTCTGAACACCATGTCTGTGTCATCATGTCTTGCTCACTACACCAGCACACCCCCTCCCCTCCTCCTCCTCACCGTGCATGTATGTTTGTGGCTGGTTAGTGCGCATGCCACTAGGTTATTAGGACATACAGTCAACTTCGCTAATAACGACTGCGGAAATAACAACAATTCGCGAATAACGACAGAATTTCCATGCCCACAGCAAAGTCCCATCCAACTGTAGCACATATAAGGAGACTTCGGGTATAACGACAGTTCGCGAATAAGGACACTTTTCTGATGCCCCGCCGGGTGTCGTTATACGCAAAGTTGACTCTACTAGTAGTGTGGATGTCTTTGCTTGAATATGCCTCAGCAGCACTTGGGTAATGCTAGCACGAATCCGGCTATTAAACATTGCTATACTTTTTCTGCTCAAGTACAATTATCGTAACTCATCGTCCTATCATCCTGGCACACTTCACTTCATTAGTTCTTTCCTTTTGCCTTTGTTATTTTGTGGGTACATGACGTGGGTGTATGCGTGTGCGCACCCGCTCGTGTGTGTGTGTGTGTGTGTGTGTGTGTGTGTGTGTTTGGTAACTGTACAGGTGTGCGTATGCCACAGCTCAGGTTGAAGACTATCTGACAATCTGCATTGAGCTGATGGGAACACGTATGTCTTCTGCCATTTCTGCTCGTGACGATGCTGTGGTCACCATTGCTGCCTCCATGCTGCTGTTGCCACTGCTGTTATTGCTGCTGTTACTGGTGCTTCTGCTGGTGCTGGTGCTGCTGTTGTTGCTCTGTTGCTGTTGCTGCTGCTGGTGCTGCCTTTGTGTCCACTGGCATCATGTCTTTTGGCAAAGGACATGTACCTTTGTTGTTTGTGTGTCTGTGCATGTGTGCGTTCTTCTGTACATGTATGTGTGCTTTTGTGTTGCTGTTGTGTGTGTCGGCTTATATCTATGTGCCTTTGTGCTTGATTTGTGTCTGTAGCTTGTTCACTTACTTGTGTCTTTGTGTGTGCATGTGTGTACATGTGTGAATGTGTGTGTTTGCGTGTGTTTGCGTGAGTGCGTGTATGTGCGTGCACGTGTGTGTGTGTGTGTGTGTGTGTGTGTGTGTGTGTGTGCGCGCGTGCGGCTGTGTGTGTGTGTATGTGCACCCACACTCGCATACAGGCTACGACAGTGACATCGAAGAGAGGTCTCGCATTCAAGCCAACGCACAGCGCATCCTATCCGTAGGTGCTACTTCGTGTTATCATAGACTGACTGCTACTTTCCCAGATGATGAGGTTACCATTACGGCTTGTCACTGAAGTTTTCCTTTTTGACATAGCGTTTTAGTTTCTAGACTTGAACGTCTTGTGTTCTTGTTCTCCTGTGCACTCCGCATACTGTAGTCAACTTTTAAAAGTTGTTGTCCGTGTGTGGCCTGCAGAACGAACTCCCTGAGCCTGAGAAGGACTGCACGGATGATGAGATTGCCAAGGCCAAGGATCTCTGGAAGGCTGGAATTGAGAAGATGTGGCGTGAGGATCGTATCGTGACTCAGCCGGCTATCACTGTTCGCGACCCGCAGACGAATACCTTCACAGTTCTTGTTGCACAACTCGCTCCATTCAGTACGTGCCACATGTTTGTCCGTGTGTTTACGTGCACATGTGCACATGTGCGTGTGTGTGTGTGTGCATTTTTTTACTAATTTTTAGTCATAGAAATTATGGTTCACGTGCGGAAAACGATGTTGCCGTGAACCAAGTGTGCCTAGTGCTGTAATAGCCGTGTCGAGTAGGAGTCAAACGCAAACAAAAGTCGAAGATCTGACGGGTCCCGATTTTTTATTACGGTTTTTGCACGTTCCAGACGGACCACGCTTTTTCGAAAAGTGGTACGGCCATGGGTACCAGTCGTAGCGGGTGCTACGCCCCTGGACTCTCTCTCCACATGGCTTGGATTTAGAACTCTTGTAGCATTGTCCGCTCTCTAGAACCCTGTACCGTTCCCTGCTCGTCTGTTGTTTTTGTTCGTCTTACGCTACCTGTATTCTTGTGCTCTTCCTCTCCACATGACAGTCCAGTGCAAAACGCAGTTTTCCAAGCCAGCGTTCTACGCCGACGAGGAGCTTGTATTACGCATATACCTCAGGTAGGTCGGTCCCGACTTGTTTGCCAAGTACACACGCACATGCACACACACACACACACACACATGCACATGCACATGCACATGCACACGTGCGTGCACGCTGCAAGAAGCCTCAAGACTTCTACGGACATTCTGTAGTTGTTTCAAAGATATAAATGTTCGTGTACTAGTATTTCAATTGCAGCACAGTAGTATCATGTGATTGAGGTCTGTCCTGATAGTTACCTCATGATACACAGATGAATGAGGTGTATGTGCAGGCGCGTAGTCCGCATGGGGCAGGGGGGGGGGGGGGGGGCACATGCACACCCCAAAATTTGGGAGCACATGCCCTCCCCCCCCCCCCCCCAAAAATTCGATCTAGGTTCAGCATGCACGTATTGTCTACGAATGACATGCACCAGCCATCCTACACATATGCGGCCATGCACCCCATGCACTCCCCTAAAAGGAGGACCAGCCATGTCCCTGATGTGTTCTGCTTCCTGTTCATCTGACGTCGTTTGTCTCTGTTTGTCGTGTTGCCAGATCATTTGCACCGCAGCCAGTGAAGTTTGATCGTCTGGCAGTGACATTTCAAGATACAGTGAGTTTGCTGTTGTTGCTGCTGCCATTGCCGCCCCCACCCCCACTGTTGCTGCTGCTTGGGGTGGTGGTGGTGGTGGTGGTTGGGGTGGGGGTGGTGGTGTTTGGGGTGGTGGCGGTGCTGCTGCTTGGGGTGGTGGTGGTGGTGGTGCTGCTGCTAGGGGTGGTGGTGGTGCTGCTGCTTGGGGTGGTGGCGGTGCTGCTGCTAGGGGTGGTGGTGGTGGTGCTGCTGCTAGGGGTGGTGGTGGTGCTGCTGCTAGGGGTGGTGGCGGTGCTGCTGGTGCTGCTGCTAGGGGTGGTGGCGGTGCTGCTGCTAGGGGTGGTGGTGGTGCTGCTGCTTGGGTGGTGGTGGTGCTGCTGCTTGGGGTGGTGGCGGTACTGCTGCTAGGGGTGGTGGTTGTGCTGCTGCTTGGGGTGGTGGTGGTGCTGCTGCTTGGGGTGGTGGTGGTGCTGCTTGGGTGGCGGTGCTGCTTGGGGTGGTGGTGCTGCTGCTAGGGGTGCTGCTTGGGGTGCTGCTTGGGGTGGTGGTGCTGCTGCTTGGGTGGTGGTGGTGCTGCTGCTTGGAGTGGTGGTGCTGCTGCTTGGGTGGTGGTGGTGGTGCTTGGGGTGGTGGTGGTGCTGCTGCTTGGGATGGTGGTGTTGCTGCTTGGGGTGCTGCTGCTGCTTGGGGTGCTGCTGCTGGTGATGCTGGTGCTTGGGGTGGTGGTGCTGCTGCTGCTGCTGCTTGGCGTGGTGGTGTTCGGGGTGGTGCTGCTTGAGGTAGTGGTGGTGCTTGGGGTAGTGGTGGTGCTGTTGCTGGTGGTGGTGATGGGTCTGCTGCCGCTGCTGCTACTGGTGGTGGTGGTGCTGCTTGGGGTGGTGCTGTTGCTGTTGCTGGTGGTGGTGATAGGTCTGCTGCCGCTGCTGCTACTGGTGGTGGTGGTGGTGCTTGTTGCTGCGAAAACCATTGGTCTCTTCAAGAGTAATAATCATGCTTCCATTTTGTTACTAAAAATGCAGAAGCTATGGTTGGAGACTATCACAGTTTCTTTGCACAGGGCTTCTGGGAGTGGGTTTGAGTCGATTCCTTTCAAGTTCTTTCCACGCAAAAAAGTAATCGATAACAATTTGCTCTATAGCCATCCATCACGATGCGATAATTATTACTGCGGCGCTGTGGAATGTGAACAACATAGAACGTAAACGAATTGAAGAAAATGTCGCGTGTAATTTACTGTATACTAGTGTGTGCGTTTACGTTGTGTTCCATGTTTTTGTTTGATTCTGCTGGTGTTGGTGATGCTGCTGCTGCTGCTCCTGTGATGTTGTTGCTCCTGTGCTGCTGCTGCTGTTGCTGCTGCTGCTGTCGTTGGTGCTGCTGCTACTGTTGCTGCTACTGCTGTCGTTGGTGCTGCTACTCCTGTACTGCCGTCGCCGTCGCTGCTGCTCCCGTGCTGTTGCTACTGTTGCTGCTGCTGCTGCTGCTGCTGCTGTTGCTGCTGCTGCTGTTGCTGCTGTTGCTGCTGCTGCTGTTGCTGTTGCTGCTGTTGTTGCTACTGTTGCTGATGTTGCTACTGTTGCTGCTGCTGCTGCTGCTGCAGGTTTACAAGGGTCTAAGTACAAAGTCATCGTCTGAGTCCGGTGATGGAGGTGCAGATGAGCTGCTCTTAGAGCCCGGTAAAGTGTTTGTTCATACGTTTCGCTTCTTAACGCCCATGTCACTTCTGAAGACTGCGGAGGTGCAAAGCAATATCACGGTAAGAGAGAGAGAGAGAGAGAGAGAGAGAGAGAGAGAGAGAGAGAGAGAGAGAGAGAGAGAGAGAGAGAGAGAGAGAGAGAGAGAGAGAGAGAGAGAGAGAGAGAGAGAATGTTGTATGTGTGTGGATGTGAGTGGGTGCATGCATGTGTGTGCACATGTGTATGAGTATGTTTGCTTGTCCACGTGGACACTTGGTGGGCGCATAGTCGTGCATGTACTCATGTACGTTTGTTGCTTTCGCAGAACAGTCATCTATCTCTGGGGCTACCCTCTCTCTGTGTGTGACTGTCGATCTTTCTCTGTGTGTTGTTGTTGTTGTTGTCTGTGTCTTTGTCTTTGTCTGTCTCTCCGTCTCTTTGTCTGTCTCTCCGTCTCTTTGTCAATCTCTTTGTCTGTCTGTCTGTCTGTCTGTCTGTCTGTCTGTCTGTCTGTCTGTCTGTTTGTCTCCATGGTGTTTGTATCCTTGTTCAGCTCGCATCCACGCAGCTGTACCTGGGCTCGCCAGCTTCATCGTGCTGTGCCATTCTGAAGTGGACAGGTGCAGGTAGGTGTCCGCTGTGCTGCACTTGGTGCCAGCTGCTGCAGTAGAGAGAAGTCTAGAACTCCCCCCCCCCCCCCGTCCCAAACTGTTGTAAAGCTACTTTTACGCGCACAGTAATGACAAACTCTCCCTTTGTGTGTGTGTGTGTGTGTGTGTTGTTGTTGTGTGTGTGTATGTGTGTGTGTGTGTGTGTGTTTGTTGTGTGTGTGTTTGTTTTGTGTCTGTGTGCATATGTGTGTTCACATGTGTGTGTATTTATCCACGTGTGTTTGCGTGCGTGCGTCCGTATGTGCACTACTTGACGGCTTACAGGTACAGACATGACCCTGGCACCGTTGGCTACCACCAACCGTCAGCTCGTTGACATGTGGAGTATGGCATCCGGCCGTGGCTCCACACACTACGACCACTGGGACAATGTACCCGTCTGTGCTAATGCAGAGTAAGTACACACTGCAGGGGCATAGCTGGTCCCCCTGTGTGTGTGTGTGGGGGGGGGGGGGGGTACACACTACGACCACTGGGACAATGTACCCGTCTGTGCTAATGCAGAGTAAGTACTAGTACACACTGCAGGGGCGTACCTGGTCCCCCTTTTAGGGGGGAGGGGGGGGGCACGGCCGCATATGTGTAGGATGGCTGGTGTTCATGGTAGCACGGACATTGCACTTGAACAGGAGTTCTTCTGGGTTTGGATCAACTGCTACACTATAGCTGCATTCCGCGCATATGCTCGTCTGTACAGTCGATAGCGCTGTTCACTTAGACTGCGGAAGTCAGGACTACCCAGGTTATCAACTGCCTTGCGAGCAATAAAATATTCCATGACATAGGGCTTTAGCAGCAGCATGCAGGCCTCACCACCACTGCCGTTTCCGTGCTGCCTTCTCGATACATACGTATGTACACTGTATATCATGTGCACATTCACATGTCTGAAGGTTTGTGGTTTTTCAATAAAATAAATAAATAAATAAATAATAAAAAATGCCAACCGATTTTTAGGAATCCTACTCTCGATTTGCCCGTACAATGCAGTAGAATTCTAAACGGCATTTTGGCTCTTCGTTGAGCTCCTTACGATTATAGACGCTCAGTATCTTTCCACTCAGATACAAATTCTCCTCATACTTCAGTAAGAATTATCAGAGTTACTCGTACTCGTGACTGTCCTCAAGGTCAAGTGATGAAGAGGAAGCCCATACATTGCAACGGCTGGGGTAGATATGTCCACCAGTCGTACGCGACGCAGAAAATGCTACTGTCAGGTTAACTACATGGACATCGTGGAGACAAAATAGGGACACACCGTATACGTCTCCGGTAAACGAAAGCAATACGACTGGAAAAGAACTTGTAGGGCTGAAACGATATGCAAAAACTGCTTAACGATAACACTTATAGCTTAACAATCGATATAACGATATTTCAAGCGGGCATTTGGCTGCGTAAGCGAGTATAGTAATGCTATAGCCACCAAAATGAATCAATTATTATGAGTGGTGACATAACACAGCTAACATGTCATATTACTGTTCAAGCTACTACAAAGGCCCAGCGGCAGCAACTAAAGTGGAGAAAGACGATTGAGAGTGAGTGAGTGAATGCACGAGGAAGAGAAGAATGTGAATTGAATACATGGATTACCAAATAGTGCATTCTGATTTCTGACTCTTGACCTGAGAACTCATCATTACTCGTCATCGGAGATCTGTGCAGGCAGTGATGGCAACTCTGGAAGACTCAGTTCCTCTTCCTCCAGCTCCTCGGCCAAGCTCAATGAATTATATCCTGAGCTAGTATTCTGGTAGCGAGCCCCAGGCAATATGCTGCTGACGGACAGGAAGATGGACGCGTCGATGTGAGCAGGGGACAGGCCATTGCGGAGCTTGGTCACCAGCCGACCAGCAGCAGAGAAGATTCTCTCAGATGGCACTGACGTCGCGGGCACAGAGAGGTATCTCCTGGCGAGAGTTGAGAGGCCAGGAAAGCGGTGCTCATTCTTTCTCCACCACTCCAGGGGGCTGTCATCTATATGCAGATTATCTTGCATGAAGAACAACTCCACTTCCCTGTCTCTGAGCCGCGTTTCAGCATCATTATTGATGGTGGATGGGACGTCTTTGCTTGGTTGACTGCGACCAAACAGTTCATGGTTAACTCCACTTCCTTGTCTCTGAGCCGCGTTTCAGCATCATCATTGGTGGTGGATGGGACGTCTTTGCTTGGTTGACTGCGACCAAACAGTTCATGATTAACTCCACTTCCCTGTCTCTGAGCCGCGTTTCAGCATCATTATTGATGGTGGATGGGACGTCTTTGCTTGGTTGACTGCGACCAAACAGTTCATGGTTAACTCCACTTCCCTGTCTCTGAGCCACGTTTCAGCATCATTATTGGTGGTGGATGGGACGTCTTTGCTTGGTTGACTGCGACCAAACAGTTCATGATTAACTCCACTTCCCTGTCTCTGAGCCGCGTTTCAGCATCATTATTGATGGTGGATGGGACGTCTTTGCTTGGTTGACTGCGACCAAACAGTTCATGGTTAACTCCACTTCCTTGTCTCTGAGCCGCGTTTCAGCATCATCATTGGTGGTGGATGGGACGTCTTTGCTTGGTTGACTGCGACCAAACAGTTCATGATTAACTCCACTTCCCTGTCTCTGAGCCGCGTTTCAGCATCATTATTGATGGTGGATGGGACGTCTTTGCTTGGTTGACTGCGACCAAACAGTTCATGGTTAACTCCACTTCCCTGTCTCTGAGCCACGTTTCAGCATCATTATTGGTGGTGGATGGGACGTCTTTGCTTGGTTGACTGCGACCAAACAGTTCATGATTAACTCCACTTCCCTGTCTCTGAGCCGCGTTTCAGCATCATTATTGGTGGTGGATGGGACGTCTTTGCTTGGTTGACTGCGACCAAACAGTTCATGGTTAACTCCACTTCCCTGTCTCTGAGCCGCATTTCAGCATCATTATTGGTGGTGGATGGGACGTCTTTGCTTGGTTGACTGCGACCAAACAGTTCATGGTTAACTCCACTTCCCTGTCTCTGAGCCGCGTTTCAGCATCATTATTGGTGGTGGATGGGACGTCTTTGCTTGGTTGACTGCGACCAAACAGTTCATGGTTAACTCCACTTCCCTGTCTCTGAGCCGCGTTTCAGCATCATTATTGGTGGTGGATGGGACGTCTTTGCTTGGTTGACTGCGACCAAACAGTTCATGGTTAACTCCACTTCCCTGTCTCTGAGCCGCGTTTCAGCATCATTATTGGTGGTGGATGGGACGTCTTTGCTTGGTTGACTGCGACCAAACAGTTCATGGTTAACTCCACTTCCCTGTCTCTGAGCCGCGTTTCAGCATCATTATTGGTGGTGGATGGGACGTCTTTGCTTGGTTGACTGCGACCAAACAGTTCATGGTTAACTCCACTTCCCTGTCTCTGAGCCGAGTTTCAGCATCATCATGGGTGGTGGATGGGACGTCTTTGCTTGGTTGACTGCGACCAAACAGTTCATGGTTAACTCCACTTCCCTGTCTCTGAGCCGAGTTTCAGCATCATCATGGGTGGTGGATGGGATGTCTTTGCTTGGTTGACTGCGACCAAACAGTTCATGGTTAACTCCACTTCCCTGTCTCTGAGCCGAGTTTCAGCATCATCATGGGTGGTGGATGGGACGTCTTTGCTTGGTTGACTGCGACCAAACAGTTCATGGTTAACTCCACTTCCCTGTCTCTGAGCCGAGTTTCAGCATCATCATGGGTGGTGGATGGGACGTCTTTGCTTGGTTGACTGCGACCAAACAGTTCATGGTTAACTCCACTTCCCTGTCTCTAAGCCGAGTTTCAGCATCATCATGGGTGGTGGATGGGACGTCTTTGCTTGGTTGACTGCGACCAAACAGTTCATGGTTAACTCCACTTCCCTGTCTCTGAGCCGAGTTTCAGCATCATCATGGGTGGTGGATGGGATGTCTTTGCTTGGTTGACTGCGACCAAACAGTTCATGGTTAACTCCACTTCCCTGTCTCTGAGCCGAGTTTCAGCATCATCATGGGTGGTGGATGGGATGTCTTTGCTTGGTTGACTGCGACCAAACAGTTCATGGTTAACTCCACTTCCCTGTCTCTGAGCCGAGTTTCAGCATCATCATGGGTGGTGGATGGGACGTCTTTGCTTGGTTGACTGCGACCAAACAGTTCATGGTTAACTCCACTTCCCTGTCTCTGAGCCGAGTTTCAGCATCATCATGGGTGGTGGATGGGACGTCTTTGCTTGGTTGACTGCGACCAAACAGTTCATGGGTACACAGTCTTCTTCTTTTAAAGAAGAAGACTGTATACCCATGAACGGGACAAGTCATGGCAGTGAGTATACAACTAGAAAACGAATGAGATAGGACAGGGTTGACGTAGAACGTATATGTAACAATACATCGTATGTTGTCCGACAGTGACAACACACATTAGCAATAAATACTAGAAATTGGGGCTGCAACGGGTAGGGTTTGGTCGGGTAACGGGTTCGGTTTTTTTATCCGGGTAGCATGGGTACCCTGTCGGGTATTTTTTGACACAGCTTGTACTGTGTGTGTGCACTTGTGCTACATGGAAAGTGTGCAGTAAGCACGTATCCGTGCTTTTTACACATAGTTTGTACCGCTGCAAAAACACCGTACTCCAACTACCCGATCGGGTTCTCAGGAGCAAATTGCTACCCTGCTACCCGACCTAAAAACGGGTAGCACGGGTACACGAGTCACAGAGTACCGCGCGTCTGGTTTGTTGTAACTAATACTTAATAGTGTCATGCCAGATGGCAATCTTCAGACAACTCGGTAGCACGGGTACTGTAATTTCACAAATTTTCGGTGTACTCCTATTTTCGGTACTTTCGGTGCGTCTGTTCCATACCTAAAGTTTCAATACACCGAACAAACACTAACACACATAATCCAATAGGGAACCGCTTCTCTGTACCTAAAATTGCTGTTCATCTAGCCTAGCATTTTGCCCTCATAGCAGGGGGCGTCGGAAGGTATTTTAGTGTGGTACGGTCAGCCATATGAAGTACAATTTACTCGTGTGGGAGGGGTGGCTGAGCCGAAAATTTTGGAAATTTAGAGCCCAGATCAGTGCATTTTATTGATTCACAGGGTACCTGGGGCAAAAAGTGGTACGGTCAATACCGTAGTGACCGCACCGTGTCCGACGCCCCTGCATAGTCATGCCGAAAATATTGAGCACCGAAAATTTCAGAAATTCGAGTACCCTACTACACACTGTACTAATACCCGATGACACCACCCCTACTAGAAATGCATGCAACTGTCAAATCAAGAGTAGTCAATGTACAGAGTGAAGACGCATGCAATATCTGACACCAATGATGATGATGCACCAATATCCTCCAGACTAGTGCGGACCAGTACTGGGGAAAGTACGCTATGATTATCCTGGCTGTGATGAATTATACCTTCGCCTCCCTGTTCTTCCATTCTGGTTTCAACACCAATGCTTTTGTCTTTGCTTCTGCGTTGTTATTCATTGTGCAACCGAGAAGGGGCAGTGTATTTGTCCTTGCTTGTGGGTTGCTGTTAGTTATGCAGTATTGTGAACATCAGTGCTGCTGTCCTTGCTCCTGCGGTGTTATTCGTTGTCCAGCATTGTGAACCGAGACGGGGCACTGGCATTGACTTTCTCTCACTCTCCGCCCGCACTGGTCAAGGAGTTCTATCCCGTGCAGCTGACGGCTCGCAACAAGGAGAGGCACACTGTGACAGGCCTGACGTGAGTGGTGTGTGTGTATGTACGTGTGTGTGTATGTACGTGTGTGTGTGCGTGCGTGTGTGTGGGCGGGCAGGCAGGCAGGGGGGCATGTTCATATTTTGTTTGTGTGACACAGCTCTTGATCTCGTATGAAATTTGTTTATTCTGTCATTTGCTTTTTCCACTTAGGCTGAAAGTCTCATTCCGCGAACAGGAGATGGTGGAGTCAAGTAAGAAGAACTGTGTTCTCTCTCTCTCTCTCTCTCTCTCTCTCTCTCTCTCTCTCTCTCTCTCTCTCTCTCTCTCTCTCTCTCTCTCTCTCTCTCTCTCTCTCTCTCTCTCTCTCTCTCTCTCTCTCTCTCTCTCTCTTCCTCTCTCTTCCTCTCTCTTCCTCTCTCTTCCTCCCTGAGGATTAGTTGCCACTCAGAGCTTTAGGCAATATACGTACATAGTCTTCTCTTGTCTTCCATGTTGTGTGAATGCCTAGTGCTCAACGCATTGGGTATTTTCCAGCTGCTGTTGTTTTTCTCTTGACATATGCAATGGCCGCTAGACCCGGCCAGACTTGCGGGCCATGCCTATCGCTTCCTAAAGTATGCAAATCAGGGGCGTAGGAAGCAGTTTAATATTGGTGCGGCGAAATTGTGAGAGGGGGTCCTCCCCCAGGATTTTTTGTGAAAATTGGGCCTAAAAGGCCATAATATTTTAATGCTACAGAATAATATGAGATATTAACTGGTTTGAGGGAAAGAGACAAACAGGAAATAATATGAGAAATAAGAATATGCATGCTGATGATACACCGCATTGTCGATGTAAAACATGGTGCCTGTACAAGAGTCGACAAGCCATCAACAAGGTTGAAATGTAAAAAAAAATTCGAAAATTATTTGTCCGGCGACCGCCGGGCCTGCTGGACCGGTTCCTACGCCCATGCAAATGTGTATTGTGTTTTGTGCTGGGCTATTTTGGTTGGGGATGGACACTGGCCAGACCACTTTGTAACATTGCTTCTATTGTTTTTGGTTTCTCTCTCTCTCTCTCTCTCTCTCTCTCTCTCTCTCTCTCTCTCTCTCTCTCTCTCTCTCTCTCTCTCTCTCTCTCTCTCTCTCTCTCTCTCACCCCCACACACGCACCCCCCACACACAGGTCATCTTAGCCTAGACAAGACATACGCAGCCGACACAAACACGGGGTCACTTGAGATCGACATGCCTGATCTGAAGCCGGGTGAGGAGGTAAGTCATCTGCACGTTTTGTGTGTGCATGTGCGGCTGTGTGTGCATGTCTGTGCATGTGTGTGCCTATGTGTGTGCCTATGTGTGTGCGTGTGCAGATGTGTGTGGATGTGCGGCTGTGTGTGCATGTGTCCTAAACACATGCCTCTTTGCATGTATTCTGGTCTATTTTTCTCTCCGTCCGTCCATCTTCCTATCCGTTGATCTGGCCATCCGTCTGTCCGTCCATCTGTCTGTCTGTCCACCTGTCTGTCTGTCCATATGTCTGTCCATCTGTCTGTCTGTCTGTCCATCTGTCTGTCTGTCTGTCCATCTGTCTGTCCATCTGTCTGTCTGTCTTTTCATCTGTCTGCATGTATGCATGTCATCTGAGTTTCGTATGTCTGTCTGTATGTCTGTGTTGTTGTCAGGCAACGCAAACCATCTATCTGCAGGGTCAGCAGGTGTGCAAGCGTACACTTATCGTCTTGGCCGAGTATGGTATCACTATACCTGCGGCTGTGGGAAGTGCAGGACCTGACCGCCATCTCCTGTTTCAGAATGTTAGTCGCCAACCGCCTGAAACTGCTTCTTGTGCTTCCTGTGTACTCGTACCTCATGCCTCTCTCTCTGTGTCTCTCTTCGGCTCTTTCTGTGTGTGTGTGTGTGTGTGTGTGTGTGTGTGTGTGTGTGTGTGTGTGTGTGTGTGTGTGTGTGTGTGTGTGTGTGTGTGTGTGTGTGTGTGTATGTTTGTGTGTGTTCACTTCAATGTACCAATGCATCTAGTGTCTGCTTCTATCAAAGCCCCAGCAAGTGTAGGGTGTGCATAGGTAACTGTCTGAGCCGTCCTATTCTGATGTGCTCCGTGTGGTGTAGACCAGGTGTGCATGGGGGGGGGGGGGGGGGGGGGGGATTCACATGGCTTCGCCAGTTGTGTGGATTGGACAGTTATCTGGCGCCAGTTTTGATCTGTTTCAGTCGGAATCAGATCCGCTATTGTTCATAAGAAAAACATCTGTGGACATATATCCAGTGTGTTTGCAGATTTGCGTGCTCCTCTCGCGACGGGCATATACATGGTACATGATGTGTGTTTATGAATTATGTGTGTGCGTGCGTGCGTGTGTGTGTGTGTGTGCGTGTGTGTGTGTGTGTGTGTGCGCGCGCGTGTGCGTGTGTGCGTTTATGTGTCCGTGTGTTTATGTACCTGCCTGTTCTTCTCCCTTGCAGTGGACATCAATCGACGTTGCGTCAGTACACCCGTTCGAGGCCTCCATCCGTCTCACCAGCCTTCGCGTATGTTAACCCTTGTGTGTCCGTCCAGTGTTGGGGGCATGATGTCATCAGTAGTCAATAAATAACTACTACTGGCTCATTCACTCTGACTCCTGTAAAACCGGAACGTCTAACGTTTTTAAATAACCGACGAGGAGACAACAGTCGTAAAATAGCAATGAAAAATATCAATTGTGCACTCATAACCATGTATAAACAATTAAAATGAAACAATTCCAGAACGTTTTCGTGTGATCATCATCAGTGGAACATCGTCACATAGTAAGAATCACTAAAACAACCAGTTATATAGCTAGAGTAACATGAAAAGAAGCGTGAGAATGCAGCACAGTTAGCGGTTATGCATAACTCACGCTTCTTTTCATATTACTCTAGCTATATAACTGGTTGTTTTAGTGATTCTTACTATGTGACGATGTTCCACTGATGATGGTCACACGAAAACGTTCTGGAATTGTTCCATTTTAATTGTCTAATTAACGACCATTTTTTTCTTCGTTTTTGAAGAATCGTTATCGCGAACCCTGTTCGAGATGTCCATGTAAAGATGCGCATACATCGATGCATGTTCTGGGTGGCCAGGTAGCCGTCGTTAAACTTTCTGCGCGTTATGCCAAAATTACAAAAACATTCAACTTTTTGGTCGTTAAACTTTCCGGTATTACAGTATAACGAAGTATGGCATCGTCGTGGGCAGGTCCCTGTGTTGCATGTCGGTGTGAGTTGTTTTTTCGGCACCAGGCGTGAATCCGCCGTCGTGTGGGCCCTGCCCTGTCGGTGTGGGTGGACGTATCGCCCTGCTGTGCACGGTACCACCCAGATAGGTGTGTGGATGCATACCACACCTGGATCTAAGCGCTAGCCAATTTGTAATCAGCCACTGGCCACGGCCACGCTCTCAAAGCTGCAACTTGTTGATGGGATACCGTACTCGTGCGATTAGTGCCCGGGGGGGGGGGGGGGGGGCACTATTCTTTCAATGTCCATCACAGATGGGGCACTATTTTTCCAATGCTGGTGCGTTTTAAATACGTCGTTCAGCATAAAAAAAAAAACTGGGATTTGTTATCCTGAAATCACCAGTGGAATGCCCTGGACAAGAACATTACTAGTAGCAAAAGCACCAAACTTGCAGCCTTTCTTCTCTCATCTCTCAGTTAGAATACCGTACTTGCGCGATTAGAGCCCTCTCTTGAATAATACCCCAGTCTCTAAGAGCCAGTGAAAAAATAAAGCCCTCTCTTGAATAGTGCCCCCCCCTCCCCCCCCCCCCCCCCCGGCTTGTAACCAAGCACAAGACAGCGAAACTAGGGCTGGCCGAAAGACAAGTCGACTAGGCCTATAGGGTGAGAGATGATAGGACTGGCGAAGAACAAAACGAAAACCTAACATTAGAAGGAGAAGAAGAGTGCCCCTCGTTCAGTTTTTTTTCGCTGACTGAATTATTGTACTATGTTGGCACGTCTAAAAATTTGGCATGAGTTTTTTTGTGTATTCAGCATGTTTATTCAGCCCGGGTATAATAATTAATCACAAAGAGAAACAATGCAACAAAAACTCCAGGAATGCATGAGTACTCCACCGCCAGATACAGCAGTAGCAAATACTGTAGTGTAGGCAAGGTGGTTTCCATGGCAACCCGGAATCGGCACAATCGCCGAATGTACAATTACACGCGTGGAGCACAGCTCGCAGCACCGCTAAACAGAAGAAAGCATTTTTGCGCCATCACTTTTAGAAATGTGGACTGTGTACGTTTTGTGAATAGAACCACTGTCACAAGTTCGGTTATGAAAGGGTGGACAAAAGTGTTTGCTCACCAAGACAAGGTCTTTCTTTGATTCTTTATCAAGGTCGAGGATGTTGAGCTCTGCTCCTTCCTTTCTCAAAAAATACCAAAGAAAAGTGAATTTTATAGTTCTGGGTCCCCTGGAATCATAGCTGTGTTTGCCTTGCTGTGATCTGTGAAGAACACAACCTGTATTTAGGGCATGTTTGATTGGTGAATCTGGATTCATATCAGATTCACTGGAGCAGTCAGAACAAACAGATCATATTTTTTTGCCAGAAATATTGTAGAACTCCTGATAGCTCACCATGCCGCGAACTTCAAAATTTCCACAGAGGTGATGGATTTTTTTACGTTCCTCAAGATGAAAAAAGGTCTGAATCGGTTCGAATCGAAACAAAAACTAAACTCATTGCGTAGCCCTGTCAGGTTTTCATTGGGCTTTACAACTTGCTCTGGCTGCTCCAGCCTTGGGGGTCGGAGTGACCAGAACATGTTCCAAACACTCCAAAACCAGTGCAGACCAGTGCAGACCAATCAAACGCCCCTGTTCTGAACGATCCTGTTCCGGATCCGACCAATCAAACGCGCCCTGGGTGTACGGTCATGTACTTATGTACCGTAAATATATTGCCATAATTATGGTACGGTGCTGCTCAATGAAATCCAGTCGATTGTCTCAAGTACACGCCGGGCGTTCCGTAGCCGCAGCCCTAGACCTGTGAATACTGGGTTGTGAAAAGGTGCACGGCGCCAACTTGACTTCCGAGTCAAGTTGGCAAAAGTTAAAGGGGAAGTTAAGGCAAAAATTAAAATTTCACCAGTTGTAGTCTTCGGGGTGCTGAGTCGAATGGTCTTGGTCCGAGAAAGCTGAGACGCTCCCTTCCTACTTGAATCCCAATCGAACTCGCGCACTTCCACCGAAACTGGGTGACTGCGCCCTACTAGATGGGGATTTGTATGCAAAATGTCACTAAAAGCGCCACTTCGTTCTTATAAAAGCACGGATGACCGCGATTGGCACATATGTTGTAGTCTTTTGGACGCTGAGTCGACTGGTTTTGGTCCGAAAAGGCTGCGATGCAGCGTTCCTCCTTTATTCCCAATCGAACATGGTTGAACAAGCGGTCACGTGCTCCTGGGTGCCCAAATCACCTGGTCACCACGCCAGCAGGCGACAACTTTCACACCAAGGTTCAACTCGGGTGACAGGACTGCACCCAAAAAAGGTCAAACAGGCTAGTAAGTTGTACCCTGCAGGCACGGTGACCAGGTGACTGGCGTACGCAGGAGCACGTGACCGCTTGTTCAACCATGTTCGATTGGGAATAAAGGAGGAACGCTGCATCGCAGCCTTTTCGGACCAAAACCAGTCGACTCAGCGTCCAAAAGACTACAACATATGGGCCAATGGCGGTCATCCGTGCTTTTATAAGAACGCAATGGCGCTTTTAGTGACATTTTGCATACAAATCCCCATCTAGTAGGGCGCAGTCACCCAGTTTCGGTGGAAGTGCGCGAGTTCGATTGGGATTCAAGTAGGAAGGGAGCGTCTCAGCTTCCTCGGACCACGACCATTCGACTCAGCACCCCGAAGACTACAACTGGTGAAATTTTAATTTTTGCCTTAACTTCCCCTTTAAAAGTTACGTATTGGAAACAGCGTTCTTGGATGTTTGAGAAGGTGTTTATCTCCTTGGTCTCGGTGTCACGCATTCCGAGCAAGCCGTAACATATTTCCGCACTGTGTGTGTGTGTGTGTGTGTGTGCGTACGTGCGTGTGTGTGCATGTGTGTTTGTGTGTGCATGTGTGTTTGTGTGTACACGTGTGCATGTGTGAGCGCGCGGTGTGTGCACGCATGCGTGTGTGGCTATTCCCTCCTCCTTGTGTTCACCCACTGTTCACAGATGGAAAGCATCGACACGGTCTGTAAGGGCGAGGAGTTCATCTTGTCAGCGGAGATCCGCTGTTCATCACCCTGGCCTATCACCATCACCAACTCCTCAATACAGCTGGTATGTATGGGCACCAGAAGAGTACCATGTCGGTTCTGTGGTAGGCACATGCCCCCACCCCCCCCCCGAAAAATGAGGTATTATACATGTAGATAGTACCCCATTTTTGGGGTAAAAAAGCAACGAACTCATCAATACAGCTGGTATGTATGAGCACCATAAGAGTAGTATGTGTCCAGCCGGTTCTGTTGTAGGCACATGCCCCGCTCCAAAACATGGGGTATTATTGATGGTACCCCATTTTTTGGGGTAAAAAGCATGCGCTTTCAGATTGTAATGAATGAATGAATGAAGTTCTTGAGTCGCTCCCTACGTGGGAGCTGACGCTTTTCGTGGGGAGCGACGCAAATCTCCCCGAGTATCGCCGAAGTCGCAACAACCTCTTCTTCAAGATGAAGTTCTTGTTACGACAACACTGGCTTTGAGCCGTCTGCTGGTTCGTATGACCTCACATATTTAAACAGGCAACATGCCTGATTGCATGAGCTTGACGGTCACAACTCTCTTCCTTGTGTGCTGTACAACAGCTATTTTAGCGGGTATAGCTTTCAGCGTATTCTGAATCGAGACCAATTTGCGATGAAATAGTATTTTAGCGGTCCAAGTCTCAGAGTTGGTTGTGGTTTGTAGTCGATTTACCTTGTCTAAAGGTGTATGCGATAGAGCATTCTGTGGGCTTTCTTGTCCTGTCATGTTTACGTCTGTGTCGCGTGTTATGGTGTGTAAGCGGTGTGCTTTCCTAATGGTCACTCATCCATTTTGTCTCTCTCTCTCTCTCTCTCTTTCTCTCTCACTCTCCCCCTTTATCTCTCTTGTTGTTTTCATGCTTAGTGCCAGCCGTTCGTTCTTACTGATGGTGACTCCTCTCCTCCTTCTCAGCTCTGCAATGGTACGATGTCATGAATATTGATGATGATGTCATGAATAGTGATGATGTCTTGAACATTGATGATGATGTAATGAATTTCTTCCAGAAAGACAACAAGCCTCTTTTACAGGCAAGCAGAATACAATTCACTGTGTCATGGTGAAGGATTACAACAAAACACCAAAAAAAAGAACGAAACACAAAAAAGAGAACGATTGTGTGTGTATGCAGTGTCACTTGGTGGAGGAGAGATTCTAGAAATGCAACCCAAATCCCCGAGACTTACAAAACCAATGTACCTTACAAAACCAATGTACCGCTTGACAACACATGCCACCAGAACATACCAGGAATCTCTTGGACAGCCTGGAACCACTCTGTTTTACCAGGAATACCGGTATATTATAATTTATAAATGGACACTTTAACTTACTATTAGGGCTGAGTCGCGTAGCGTTTTCTCCGGGTATCGGGTTCGGGTAGTTTTTCACGGGTAACACGGATACCCAATCAGGTAATGTTTCCATGGTAACGCCACCATGCACCCCTTCCCTTACACACTGGGAAGACATGCGGAGTATTACATGGATTTGTACACGTGCTCTGTACATTATGTCTTCTGCGACTTCGTGTTTTCGGGCACTATTTCTGTACCCGTCTACCCGAGGTCCTCACGGGGAGCACGGGTACCCGACTACCCGTGCACACCACTACTTACTATGACTGCATAGTGCATACCTGTGTGCTTTTATTCCTGTTGGTAACTTGTTGACTCCAGCGCAACTGGAAGGCGACAACATTGCAAGCGAGTGTTTTGGAGTTGTAGTGCCGTCGACGTGTACGCAGAAGGGAATCATTCCGCTCGGACAGTTCTCTTTGCTCTGGCACAGGTAGGATGGCTTCTGTGTGTATGCCTGTCTGACCGTCTATCTGTGTGTGTGTCTTTCTGTTCCTGGGCGCTAGCGTGTCTGGGGCTTAGCCGCTATGTTTGTACGGGTATCTCTACACTCCTGCTGACTCGTTTCATTGACCTGTTCTCTCTCTCTCCCACTCTCTCCCACACACACTCTCTCTCTCACACACTCTCTCTCTCTCCCACTCTCTCCCACACACACTCTCTCTCACACTCTCTCTCTCTCTCACACTCTCTCTCTCTCCCTCACTCTCTCTCTCTCTCTCTCACTCTCTCTCACACTCTCTCTCTCTCTCTCTCTCTCTCCCCCCCCCCCCTCTCTCCCACTCTCTTTCCTCTATATCAGGTCAGTGAATGATGAAGTGGAATCACCAGAGGCGATCTCAACAGTTCTGTCCTTACCCGTTGCCATGGTGACAGATGTACCTTTCGTCATAACGGCAGGTATGTACAGCGGTCCCTGTATAATCCGACACCATTTGTACTACGTCAAACTCTGCTGGATTACGAAGGGGGCTGTGTTAAAGGGGAACTGTCACCAAAAATTTTCTTTGTCTTATCTTGTAGTTCTTTGGCTCCTGATCACGATGGTGTTATTCGTTTTTCTCTGCGATGACTGGAAGTGGGTGAAAACTTGAAAAGAAGGTGCCCAAAATTGTCCCGAAGTACCGAGTGACGTCACGCCGGACTTGACCTCCACGCGTACATTCATCGTCAAAAACGAAGTCCAGCCCGTGTGCTCGTCGATCGAGCCAACTGTTCGATGTACGGTGCACGCTTGCCTTCTGAACTCGGACACTCGATGTGTACTGTTGTACACAATGAGAACGCCAAAAAGGGACAAAATGAACAAAAGTCGACTGCAGTTTGTCGCACTGGTACTTCCTCCACGACGCTCCAGCTCTTTGTTTTATTTGTGATTACGAAGGAGTGGAAGGATGTTTGTTTGCTGTTAGTGTGACACACATACCTCGTACTTGAAAATTATGTCGTTGTATCGAAGGTGGCGATGTTGCCCACCCGGCTCTGAAATGAAAGACGTCGGAGTTCGTCATCTGCATCTTCAGCAACATCGCCAGATGAATCGCC